AATTCTCTTTTCAAAAGTAACTAATTTTCCCATCCACAACCCACTTTATTCTTTCTGCTCCCCCAACTTTGGCTAGTGCCTTGTAACTGATTTTTTTTTTTTTTTTTTAATAATTTGCTATTGGCAATGGCCAGGGAAATGTGCTTTATGTGGGCTACTTCTCCTTGGCTGAAAATAATCAGCTTAAAGCAACCCTGCAGCAGGGTTAACATTTTGGTTTTAGATGACACTGGGCATGTCTACACATGCGCTTTAATGTGTAGTAACCTATTTTACTGTGCATTAAAGCCTCACATAAAAAAAGTGCAATTTTCCTAATGCATAGTAAAATAGGCTAGTGTGCATTAAGCATCACTTAAAAACCATGCACATTTGTTACTGCACATTAAGGCAGTCTAATGCTCATTTCTTAGTACCTCACATTGGAGGTACTTCATTTAATGCACATTACAAAAAGCACCGTAATGCACCTGTAAACACATCCACTGACTCAACTCAGGACCACATATAAGTATGTGCTTGAAGGTAAAAGTATTGCATATGTATCAATCTTGTAGAACATGCCTAAGTGCTGCAATAATTAGAGATAGTGTCCACTGCCAGGGCCTTGATGAACAAAGTATCATCTTTTCTTGTCAGGGTTAACAAGATTTCAGTTCGTTGCCAATTGAAACAGATCATTTACAACTATCTGTCCCCTCTGATCAGGAGCTCATCTGTGGTCATGAGGTTCTTCCCTCCTTTTCCTCCTGTCCTTTAGCATAAATCTTAATACAGCCAACTTAAGGCTTGCTTACCTGAGGATGTTCAAGAAAATGAACCTGTATTAATACAAGCACTAACCAAGTCCTCTCAGCAATCCTAAGTGTCCTTGCGCATGGCAACAGCCTGGGCACTCTGGATGTGGGAGCCCAACAGGCCTGCTGAGGTAGAACCCAGGCATGAAGAAATAGCTGCAAGTTTGTTAACATCTATATTAGGCCTTTGTTACCCAGTTTATAAAAAGGAAGGAGGTACCTGCATATGGAGTCAAACAGGAAACTATTCTTTGTTTGATAATGGACATTGCAGGTTTCAGCTGAGATAGGATTGCCAAAAGGTGATCATCCTTTCTTGGACGAGCTTGCACACTACAAAGACAAGGCCTTCAAAAAGCCCTAATGGAAACAGCAGCAGATGTGTGAAATGACTTGCCCCCTAGTAATACAACTTAGGCCATGCCAGAGCTAAAAATAGAGCCCTGGTCTCTTGAGTCCCAACCCACTATTTAATCCACTATACAGCCTCCTCTGTTCATGCTTAACATTCCTG